TTGGAGCAGCGCCGTGAGGCCGCCGTGGGAGCTCCTGTGCCTTTGTGTGCCAGGGAAACAGAGGCTCAGATGTGCCATCGTAGGTCCAGGTGACACCCAACCCCAGTATGCGGCAGAACACAAACTTAAACGAGGCCTGCAGGACGCCCGCTGCCTCCAGGACGCCGAGTAGGTGCCAGGAAAGTGATGTGGAGGCCCTGCTTCCCGGCACGAGTGCGGCTAAAACGGCTCCCTTCCTCTGCCCCGTGGCCCCACAGGCTGCAGGGAAACAACGCCAGTGCCCACGGAAGGTCCCCTCACCCCCATGCCGAACGACAAAGGCCCGGTGACAACTGTGCTGGTCCTTCCACTGGCCCCACTTCCAACAAGGGGAGCTGGTGCTGGGACGAGGGACGAGCAGACAGGCCGGGGTGTGGGGCGACCTGAGCAGCTGGGAAGGAACTGCACTGTGCACGTGACAGATGCCACCTACATCCCCAGAGTAACGCACATAGCCAGCAGCACCCCATTTCACAAACGAGGAGACTCAGGGTCAGAGAGGTGAAGCGACTGCCAAACGTCACACAGTGATGTGCTAGACCTGAGATCTGAGCCCTAAGCCTGAGAGGCTGTGGGCCAGGACTGCATTTCTGAAAGAGCTCCCTGGTCAGCGCTACAAAAAAAGAGGGGAAATTAGGCCAAGGAACGAAAGCAGCAGTGTGGCTCAGTGGGTCTGGGCCTGGCCCGAGCCCCATACTCCGAGCACGGCCTCGCCCGCCCCTGCCGCTCGGCGTCCAGGCTGTTCTGCACTCGGCATCCCGGGTCCACCCTAATTCCCGGCTCTGGCCCTGTCATCCATGGTTCTTTCTAACTTCCCCACTCCTGTGCATTTTAAAGGATGTTCTTAGTACACCCGAGGGAGAAGGCAAAATGAGCAGAGAGGCCTTTATTATGGTTAAGTATTAAACCCTTTCTTCGCCGAAATCCCAACTGCCCAGCAATTCCATCCAGCCCAGGTGTGTGGGGCTGGGCCGAGGCTCCTCCTGGCCATGGTAGCACAATGGCTCATAACCCAGAGCCCGCCCGGGGCTGTCGGGCACGTGCTGGCCTCCACGCCTCGGACTCCCTGTTTACGGACAGTGGTGATAACCGTCACTCTCTGGGCCAGGACATGGCATCTCTGACAGGACGTGCCCTGCCTCCGCGGTTTTTTTGTCCTGTGCCTCTCCAGCTCCGGAAGCTGTTCTCTCACTGTCGGCCCATGACAACAGTCCCTGCCCGAGGCACGGCGGCCTCTCGGCTGCACAGCCAACCTGTGGGGCCCGGCATCCCACGTCCATCGGCCAAGCTCTGCCCGTGACCTGCTGTCCACTCAGTGCCCGAGCAGGCTTGCTGTCCTGCCAGATACGCTGTCCCCTACTGCCCACATAGGACGGTTCCCTGCGGCTGGTCCTGGGCTTGTGGCCATGAGGTGCCAGGTGTCTGACCCTCCTCAGAGCCCCGGGTCTGGTACAAGCAGCCGACTGCGCTCAGGGAGTGAGGAGACAGGACATTTCAACCTCAACAAGGACCAGGGGAATGGGGGGCCTCCGGAGGCCAAAGCCCGAAAACTTCTGCAAGGACAGCGAGCCCCTGCTTCCACTCAGGCATGGTTGACAAGGAAGAAGATCCTAGACGGACTCCCCGAGGGCAAGCTGCACCCCCACAGCTGCCATGATGGTGCCGCCCACCTGGCTTTGATGGCCTTTGCCTAAAAGGAGCGAGGACCCCGCAGAGGACGGCAGCCCTGCAGGGTGAGGGGGTCTTCAGGCTTGGAGCGTGCTGGAGTGCAAGGAAGGGGCTTGGTTTTCTTTCCAAGCCCCGGGACAATATTCGCTGTCTCCAGCAGGAGGGGAGGCCCAGCGCATGAGCTAACTGGAGCCTGGACCAAAGAGGAGATGCTCACCCACGTGACCTCTTGGGCAAGGAGGAAGAAGAAAGAAGATATATACACGTTTGCAAGCGACTGTGGTTCATCCGGAATAGATTATCTGGTGAGATAACTGCCAGAGAGTAACAAAACTTCCCCTTCAGTAGGAATCTTAAGTCTATTTCGCATAGGACTATTTATTTACTTACTTATTGTGAGAGGGTACATGCACTCGCCAGAGAGAGACAGAGAGACGCGGTATGGCCACGCTGCAAACCCTCCTCCACCTCCCCAGCTGTCATAATTTTGGACACGGACACACACACACACACACACACACACACACGCCGGCATACTTTTCAAACCACTGAGATGGGATTTGAACCATGGTTGACCAGTGGGATCCAGCTCCCAAGCATAGAACTTAGCCACTACACCATGGGGCCAGTCCTCAGTGAAATCTGTCTGAATATCATTGACAAAGACACAGACGAAAGCTCCCAGGAACAGCAGGAAGCGAATGTTCCAATGAGCTGAGCCAAGCACTCAGTACCGGTGACTTCCTCCATGCAGAACGCCCAGGTGAGGCGCGGTGTTGAGACAGGCAGTGTGGACAGCCCCCACAGGCAGCACAGAGGCCGCCACGGCCCAACCCAGGGTGAGGGGGCAGAGTCAGGAGGCGGCCACATCCTATCCTCTTCCACTGCCCCAAACCACTCCAAGCTCCCAAAACACACCCCGAGCACACACCTCGCGGCACACGGCTGCCACCTCAGAGGACAGCCACCAACTCGAGCAGCGGGAAGTCGGGAGCGCTCACTCAGGCTGCAGAGCACCTGCCCAGGTGAGCTCCTCTCCCCCTGTCTCCCTGATGGCCTGCAGCACGCGCCCGTCGAGTGCCCACCCCCCACGATGGCTGGCACGCTGTGACGAGAGCGCATCCCCGGCTAGGGGCGCGGCAGGTACTCACCCCACTGCAGCTGCGCCAGCTGCAGGTGCTCCAGGACGAGCTGGTTCAGGAGTCCTTCCACACTGGCCTCGCCACTGCGCTTCAGAGAGGGGTGAGCTCGGTCAAGGAAAGCTTGGCTCTGCTGAGACCTTCTAGAAGCTTCTGACAGAGACCCCCAGAGGGAAACCTCCCACAGCAGACGCACCTCCCTCCTCTTAGGTAACCCCCGTCGGGTGAAGACAGCACCCCGAGTACAGGAAGTCCGGCGTGCGCGTACCCGTCAGGGGCCTCCCCACCTCCCCCAACTGTGATCAAGCAGTGTGTCTAGGAAGGGAGGCCCCTGGGGCAACGCTGGTCCCGCCACTATTCCAGGGGGGAA